GATTTAATTACAGCACTCAGTCTTTTTGGGTATGAGCCTACCAGCATGTCACATCTTGACTTGGCAATATTTGCCCACTCTTCCTTGCAAAAACACTCCAACTCTGTCAAGATTGCGAGGGCATTTCCTGTGCACAGCCCTCTTCAGATCATCCCACAGATTTTCAATCAGATTCAGGTCTTGGCTCTGGCTGGGCCATTCCAAAACGTTACTCTTCTGGTGAAACCATTCCTTTGTTGATTTAGATGTATGTTTTGGGTCGTTGAAATGCTAAAAGATGAAGTTCCTCTTCCATGTTCAGCTTTCTAGCAGAAGCCTGAAGGTTTTGTGCTAATATCGACTGGTACTTGGAATAGTTCATAATTCCCTCTAACCTGACTAAGGCTCCAGTTCCAGCTGAAAAAAAACATCCCCAAAGCATCATGCTACCACCACCATGCTTCACTTTGGTGGTGTGCAGTGTTGTTTTTTTTTGCGCCAAACATATCTTTTGGAATTATGGACAAAAAGTTCAACCTTGGTTTCATCAGACCATAACACATTTCCCACATGCTTTTGGGAGACTTCAGATGTGTTTTTGCAAAATTTAGCCGGGCTTGGATGTTATTCTTTGTAAGAAAAGGCTTCCATCTTGCCACTCTACCCCATAGCCCAGACAAATGAAGAATACAGGAGATTGTTGTCACATGTACCACACAGCCAGTACTTGCCAGATATTCCTGCAGCTCCTTTAATGTTGTTGTAGGCCTCTTGGCAGCCTCCCAGACCAGTTTTCTTCTTGTCTTTACATCAATTTTGGAGGGACGTCCAGTTCTTGGTAATGTCACGGTTGTACCATATTTTTTCCACTTGATGACTGTCTTCACTGTGTTCCATGGTATATCTAATGTCTTGGAAATTCTGTTGTACCCTTCTCCTGACTGATAACTTTTAACAATGGGATCCCTCTGATGCTTTGGAAGCTCTCTGCGGACCATGGCTTTTGCTGTAAGATGCGACTAAGAAAATGTCAGGAAAGATCTACTAGAACAGCTGAACTTTATTTGGGGTTAATCAGAGGCACTTTAAATAATGGCAGCTGTGTACTGACTCCTATTTAACATGATTTTGAATGTGATTGCTTAATTCTGAACACAGCTACATCCCCAGTTATAAGAGGGTGTGCCCATTTATGCAACCACATTATTTTAGTTTTTTATGTTTACTTCCCCCCAAAAAGATTTCAGTTTGTTTTTCAATTGAGTTGTACAGTTTATAGGTCACAAAGGTGGAAAAAGTTCTGAAATGATTTATCTTTGTCTAATTTTTTTACATCACAGAAACCTGATATTTTAACAGGGGTGTGTAGATTTTTTATATCCACTGTACACTAGATGCAGCACCAACACCACCCTAGCTGAGCTTCCTGGATGGTAATATAGAAAAATCTTTAGGTAAAACGTTTCCTTAGATAGTATGTAAAATACCTGAATGACACACAACAGGAAGCTTCATCTGAAGTAATTCAATACAGTAGTTTTTCATGGGTAAGGTCTTATCAGAAGATCAACTTGATGTGAAACTATAAATCAGGAGATAAACTAAGGACACAATGCTAGTGTATACAGAATTTGGACATGGTTCAATGTTTGTAAAAGAAAACACATTCCACCGGAGTTCATATCAAAATGATACAATACAATAACCGTGAGAAGCCAACAGGATATGCTGACTGTAAGTCAAGAGCATTCTGTGCACAAAGTAAGATGATGTGAAGGAACAGTCAAGCTTCTTTAGACCTTGCTGGGTAGATCTTTATTTTTCTTTTTATACCATGCTGTACTTTTTCCAGCTTCAGTAGAACGGTCTATGCCAAAAACAAAAACTAAATAAATGGGACTGCTTGCTCCCATGCCCATACATCAAACATTTCTGCCCCCCCCCCCCCCCCCAAAAAAAAATGTGCCTATTTATATTTTGCATTACTGCATTAATTTTCATAACCATTACATGCCCTTTTTCCCAAAACAGTGATAACTCTGATGAGAAATTGTGATAAAAATGTAAAATCTCCTTGTCTATCTCACACCTCATGGCAAGCAAACATGGTCTTTGCCTGTTCAAGAACAACAAAGGGAATTGATAATGTCCATATCTCCAACATTCTGAGGTTTCAGTATTATTCCTGAAGTGTAAACCCTCAAAGCACTGGAACAATGAACAGTGGACACTATTTACTAAAATGAAGATGTCAGAATAGAAGTTAACACATACCTCTAAACAAGCATGTCTTAAAGAAGGATGCTGATCAGGCTACAAAAATCCACCAGGACACCCTGTGAACATAGCCCCCAGTTCCTGTAAAAATCAGTGCTTTGGATTGGAAATAAAATGCCACTTTTTCATTGTCAATTGTGACTTTAGCACCACCCCAGGATGAAGCCCAAATTATGAGCGTTTCAATAGGGGAGGTACAGGCAGCAGCACTGAAAGCCCTCCTTGTCATGCATCTCTAAACCTTCTCTGCTCCATTTGTAGAATAAAAGGGCTAAGTCTGCAAACTCCCACAGCCTCCTCTGTGACTGTTAAAAGAATGAGCCTGTTATTTCCTGCAGCTGCTCAAATGATCAAATACCACCAAAAGAAAGCTCAATTTGTGGGGAAAAAAAAGGACGTAAATTTAATTTGGGTGCAGCGCTGCATGACCGCGCAATTGTCAGTTACAATAACACAGCGCCATAACGCAAGTGGTTAATGGTTATTTTGTAATGTTTACATCTAGACAAATTACAATTAAAAGATTAAAACAGTAAAACTTCTCATAAAAAACTGAATGTGCATTTTGTTTAATTTAAATACTACAGTTCATGCACAACATTTGAATAAAACAACATTTTCTAATAGGTGGCTCATCTTTTACATCTTTTTTTTCTTATTTAAAGTAACTCCTCTTTTCTAAGGTCAGTTGTGCCCAAAGTGTACATACCGCCACAAAGCAATTTATAATACACAAGATAGCATCTGGAAAACACCTCAAACAAAACTCTTGTTGGAATTCGAAAATTGAATTATATAACCACAAACATATACACAATGTTTGGAGATGAGTCAACAAGTTCTAGGAAGAGAAGCTCACCACCTCTACCATGAAGCATAGAGGTGGATTTCTGCTGTTTAGTGGGCTACACCAGCATAGGTAATTTAGTAAAAAATTATGCAAAATGAATGCATTTTTTTTTAGAAAACACTGGTGGAAAATTAACATTCAGCAGCCCAGAAGCTCTGCATGGTGCATACTTGGATTTTCCAACATGAAATGATCCCAAAAATAAGGCTAAAGTTCACCCTTACCCTTCTGTGGTTGCAGAAAAATAATTATAAAGGTTTTGGAGTGGTCATCAAAATCTCTTGACCACAACATCATTGAGCCACTTTGATGAAATCTTAAACATGTAGTTCATGCTAGGAAACCAAAGAATTTACAAAACCTGGAGGTTTTTTGCTTAGAATGGGCAGCTTTACCACATGATAAAGGGCCTCATTTACAATTAATGTTGCAAGTCATCATTGATGCTAAAGGAGGTAGCACAGGACATTAAGAACTAAGGACATGCAAGAACAATATCAGATTAGGCATAGACATTGGCATATACTGTATACATGGTTTATTGTATTTATGACATTTTTGTCTAATCTGATATTGTTTTTTTTTTTTTTTTTTTTTTTTTTAACATGTAGAAGCTTTGGATGTGGTATATGGATGTGGAATACTGTCCTTACAGCCTATCCCCAACTTACAAACTTAACTCAATGCACTTTTTAATTTGAGCAACTAAGTGGCAAATGAGGTTTAATATTGATAAATGTAAAGTTGTGCACTTGGAGGATAAAAACATGCATGCATCATACATTCTAGGAGAACAGCATGATGAAGTAATTGCTTAACACGTGACTTCATCAGGCATGATGAAGTCACGTGTTAAGCGTGACGATACGCATTGGCGGTGACGCACGTCCGGTCGGACGCCTTCTTTATTTACATTGGACACCCATGCAAGAACATCTGATCTGAGGTTTGATTTACATGTGATGTACCAGATGATTTTAAATGTGAGCATATTCGATATGTGATACTTTGTTTGGTGAATAAATAGTTTTACACTATGCAAGCATTCACTTATATTTTCTGAGGGATCAAGTGGCTGCAGCCACCTTATGTGCCTGAAGAGGAGATCTGCTGCCCTGTGAGCCTGTGCTTGAATCTGTACATGAGGGGAGGTCAGTGTGGAGAGCTGTGGAGGATTACCTACTATTAAGGGTCCATGTGTTAGTGATCCTGAAGGCCTTTTCACCTTGTGCGGGTTGCAAGAGGGAGGTGAGCAGGCAATTCAGCCATTTTTGGATATTTCTGCACATTTATCAGCACTTTTTTTTTTTTTCTTCAAGAATTGCTGTGGACTTTATATATTTTTTTTTGTATATTGTCAGGTGTTTTACATCTCACGGGACTTTATATATTTATTCATGTTTGTTTGCATGATCAGCTCTTAGTTTATGCGTTTATTGGGATGCACGTGTGTTTTGTGTTATATGGTGGGAACTGATTTTTAGTTCCGGTGGGAGGTTTTTTTAGCACACTGAGTCCTGTCGTGACTTATTTGTTTGATTTGGAGCACTATTGGATCCCATTGGATTACTTGGGGCACCATGTATGTTATTTGGTCCTTTTAGGACCTCGTATTGACACTTGTCACACGTGATTTATGAGTTTTTTGGCACTATTTAATATTGTGTGTTTATGTTATTTGTGTCACTTATTTTGCACTGTTTCACTTATTTATGTGTGAAGAATTTTTATGGTAGTAGCACTGCATCATTTGTGTTTCATTTATATTTTTTGTCTATGGGTATATAGCTGTATGTAGCAGCTTTACCTTTGTTGGTAGGTATTCGTTTTTAGGTAGGAGCGCAGGAGTTTGTCACATTAGTGCCACATCAATGCCACATATCAGTGCCCACCTGAGCTGCCTTTCAGTGTCACCCATCAGTGCCAGTCAATGCCACCTATCAATGCCAGTCAGTGCCACCTACCAGTGCTGCCAATCAGTGCGAGTCAGTGCCACCTATCAATGTGCATCAGTGCCGCCTATCAGTGTCATATATGAGTGCTGCCTTTCAGTGTCCATCAGTGATGCCTGTCAATGTCCATCAGTGCCACCTACCAGTGCCTCTTCATCAATGCCCATCAGTGCCACCTATCAGTGTCCATCAGTTCCCATCACTGCAGCCTCATTAGCGCGCCTCAGTGAAGGAGAAAAATCACTTATTTACAAAATTTTATAACAAAAACTAAGAAAAAAAAATATTTTTTTTTACATTTTCAGTGGTTTTTAGTTTGTTTAAGAAAATAAAAAACCCAGAGGTGATTAAAATACCATCAAAATAAAGCTCTGTCACAAAAAAATTATAAAAATTTCATTTGGGTACAGTGTTGCATGACCGCACAATTGTCATTCAAAGTGCAACAGCACTGAAAGCAGGAACTTGGCCTGGGCAGGAAGGGGGTATAAGTGCCCTGTAGGTTAGTGTCTAAAAATTTTCCTGCAAACTCAATTCTCCTGAATAATTCAAAACTGGGACTCTTGGGACTGGATTCAGGAAAACCGTAAAGCTCATACAATTCATTAGATTTCTTCAAATCCATAGCTGATTTCTTTAGTCATAGTCTATGCACATTTCTTATCACATCAGTATGTGCTTCACTGTTTCAGTAAAACCCCTCAAATAAACAAACACCTTACCAAAACTAAAATATTATTATACCAAATTAACGGAGACACAGAGACTATATACACAAACAATCCCTAATTTATTTTTTCCTAAATTGAATTAATTTGCTGACAAAGCTTTGTTTTTAGAATTGCTTTGTGTTTTGGACAATGTATGAGATGTATACAAGCAATGTTAATTTGGTATAACATTTATTTAGTTGTGGTAAGCGGTTTGGTTATTTGAGGGATTTTTATTAAAGCAGCACAGTATATACTGATGTAATATTTTTGTATGTGGGAACACATAATATGTGCAAGCTGCAGCAACCCAAATATTCTTTCACGATGGAGTAGTGGGTAGCACAGGAGGCAATTCTCATATTATGTACATCTCATACCTGATCAATCCCTAGAAAAGTCACAGCCACAGGGGGTCACCGATCGGCACTACTACCATTTATTGAAGAGGTCTTCAAATTGCGCAAACTTTAGGGTGGTCGGACTGTGGACAGTAGAAAATGTTTCAGCATCAGTGGGAGTAAACAATGCCAAAGGCTTGGTGGTTAGGTAAAAAAAAAATTACATCATACTGCCTCATCACTGGTGTCAGAAAGAGTTAGTTCCCCATATCTAGTGTTAGTGGGGGGCATAGTACCCCATTGTTGGTGTCAGCATGAGGAATAGTGTTCCGCCTTTGGTGTCAATGAAGGAAAACGGTCTCATATGAATGGAAGGAATAGTGCCCCAAGGGCCAGATAAAAGGCAAGCAAAGGGCTACATCTGGCCTACGGGCCCCAGTTTGGAGACCCTTGATTTAGAGAAACCTCAGTAGTTTTTAAATGAATACAAGGTGTTCTCTGATAGAACGAGGTGGAAAGGTGGGATGAACATGTAACTAATCTAGTGATTACACATGATTAGAGACAAATTAAGAAACCCAGGATGCTAACCACCCAGGTCCTTAGCCGTATGTAACAGATCAATGTGCAGTTACATGCAAACAGTCATGGTGGCTATCAACCAGTCATAGATTTGTACAGGCTGCTGGCCATGGATCACAAGCATCTGTGCCACACTGTAGTAGTACTGTTTCTTGGTGGCATATGGCCCTTATTGGCGGTTTGATTGGGCCCTATGCGGTGGATGCATTTTTTTCCCCAAGCTTTATTTTCACCTGGTAATCCTGCTAACACACTTGTCCTTGGGTGGCTATGCTCATTTAATATATCTATTGAAGACGTCAAGAATAATACGCTGTTCCAAATGTGGACTACAAACAGATCCTAGTAGTTTAAAGGAGATAGCTTGAAAGGAATATAAGACTATTCGTGCTTTCAGTTCAGCTCAAAGAACGTGACAAGGATACTGCATTCCTGTCAAGATCAATTGATATGTTCTGTAGTATCTGAAAATAATGTTGGCCTGAAAGAAAGCTAATGTAGCAACCACAATTAAAGACTGGCAAACTACAAAATATTACATATTTTTATAGGGTTTAGATATCATTTAATAAGATTTAATCTCACTACTACTAGAATAGCACAATTTGTTTCCAACTACCCTCTCAATTGCATACGCGGCTCTAAAAGTGGTGAATCTGGTGAACATGCCCCCAGGTCTTCAGGTTCTGGTTGCAAGGCACAGATCTCACCACAAACTCCCCTTTCTAGCAGCAAAATAATAGACTTGGGAAACAAACATGCACTTGTATGACCAACTTTATGAGTAAAGTGTAACTAAAGGCAAGCCTTTTTTTTTTTTTTTTTTTTGATAATGTGGAGAGGGATTAGAATACCATCAGGTTTTTTATTACGGTTTGTAAGGATTAATAATAGGATTCACCCTATTTGTCCTGTTAATGTTTAGTGTTATTGTTGAAAGTAAAAGAAAATCCCAAATTTTAGGTTTACACTAGAATAGTAAAAGGGGAATCTCCCAATGAGGACACTAGTTGTGGTGACCCTGGGGACACCATGGGATTCACTCACTTTGCAGGGATTTCTTCTCACTTCCTGTTTTAGTCATGTGACAGGGAGTGGAGGGAAATCTCCCCTGTTGAGAGCAGATGGCAAAAAACCTGACAGGGATTACACCCCAAATTACTCTACCCAAAATGGAAAAAAGTAGTTATGTCTTTTCTTCTACCTTAGTGAAAATACTTCCAGCTTACTTGCTAAGATATGTTTCTCAATATTTGCCCCCCCCTCCCGGATCTCCTAAACTAATGTCTACTGTTGCCCTTCCTTAGGGCCGAACTAAACCTTCCTATCCTTTTCAGCCATGGATTAAAACAGTCACATTTACTTGTGCTTTCAAGCAAACTGTCATGCCATCAAATGACTGATGTCATAACTGATCACATGTGCAACACCATGGCAACTGCAGATCAAACAGAGGCTAAGATGGCAGCTTCCCTGGCTGTAACGGATAAGAGGTTTTAGTTCTGCTTTAAATACACTTGTTCCCATACTACCCAGTCTAGCAGCCCCACTCCATCCATTTCCTTTCCTCTACCCAATTCCTCTTCTCTCCCCCAGGCTTATATCCCATACTTCTCTCGCTTCACCCTTTAAGACCTACAATGTTTATTTTGGTCTCCCCCCACAAGTCACCTCCCTGGCTTTTGGTATCATATATAGTATATATGTACTGTATTTGGGGACAGTCACAATGCAACAGACTGGAGTCATCTAGAGTAATTTAAAAAAAAAAAAAGAGGGCAAACAGAAACTGAACTAAAGTATGTCTTCTTTCTTGCCTAGATTTACATAAGTAATACTGACCAGGCCTCACCACTCTGCATACTGCTACAGGCAATGTCTATAAGTGTCTGAATATCCAGCAAAAATTCAGGTCAATGAGGTTTAAGTTCTTAAATCCCCATTGGAAACATAGGAGTGGCATATATTGAAAAAGAAGTCTAACAATGTGTGCCAGGAACCACCGTCTGCTTATTAAATACCAATGATCCAACCCCCATTATGTTCTTCTTGAAAAACATGCATGCAAAAAACTGACAAGTGGCTGAAATCCTGCCCAGGAGGTTTGTGGAAGTACTGACAAATCTTGTAATAGGAAAATAAAATAATATTCTGATTTTGGTATATTGCAAGGACATCTGACTTTGGAATATTGGTAATGTTTCCTAGCAAGTATTAGCAGTTGATGGAATTATTTTAGCTCTTAGTACCCTGTTTCCTGAAAATTGTTTTATATTTGGAATCGCAAAGATGGTTCAATGAAAACATTATATCACAAGCTTTCAGTATATTATTAATCAGTTGCTGAATTGTATGCCTCTCACACATTTTCACGATCTATATCACTGTATTATTATGTTGGGCAACCCTAACAAACACTATATATGCAATTTACACATTTCACAATGTTCAGTACCTGTTTGGTAACTCTCTTGATCTAGCCTTTGAATTGCAATAGAAGATACTTGTTGAACACTCAATATACAGTATGTAGCATTATTTGAAAATGTAATTAATGGTTTACTTTGGCATGATTACACTTAATCCAAAAAAATTGAAACAAGACAAGGGAGGGTGAAAAAAAGAAAACTCCACACTCGTTAACCTAACGAGCATCAATGTGCCTCTTCCTAGTACCAGAGCTACAGTGCTTTTTATGGTCCATTTTGCATTTTTACACGTGTTTGTTCTCTTGTTGCTAGGCAGATTAAAATACAAAATGCATCAAAAATGCAGCAAAAACGCTATAGAACCAAAAATGCAACTTTTTGCGTTTAAAAAAAGTCCCTGACCCTTTCCAAAAAACGCACCGAGTGAAAATGAGAGATGTGAACGTGTCCCATAGGAAATCATGTAAAATGTACTGTAGTGTGTTTCTGCAAAACGCTGCAGAAAACGCTTAGGTGTGAACCTAAGTAATGCTGCAGTGTCAGCGTTGCTAGTCCATCAGAAAGTCAGTAGCAGGCTGCACTTGTGACAGACTCATTAGGTATATTTAGGTGCCAACAGCAATCTAAGAAAGAAATAATTAGGGGCCATGTATAGAAAAGCTGTACTGCATATGATTTTCTTTAGATTTCTTTTAAGATCACATGTGGTGTGTGTGATTAAGAGTCTGATGATGCATGTCAAAACTACCAACTAATTTTTAGAGAAGAGTACAATTGTTTAGTAATAAACGGACTCCAATGATCCACCATCTTTTTGATAAAAATCGGTGTTACAGGGCTTTGCTCATAGTAATCTACACAAATAACATAATGTTATTACCCAATATGTAAATGTGAAATAAATCCAACAATCAATCTAAGTGAAATCACTTAAAACAAAATATGCATGTACATCTATATCCTTAAAAAATGTCTGTCTAATAAAGTCCCATATACCTTTCAGTGCTTCAAATCATATAATTTCTTCTTAATCACATTAGTAACAATCACCAATAAGTGCTCTTCTACTGCGTAAAAATTATTTCCTCCACCAGGTGTGCTCTCACCTGAATATCTCTGATCTTATTAAAATAGCATGATCAGTATGCTTTATTTGTCCCACAGGGACCTGAAGCGTTGCTCCTAGATAAACTTCAATCTCT